CTGAGAAATCCAGCCCTTCCACAGCAGCGCCAAAAGCTGCCACAGGTCCGCCCATGAGACCAACCAAGAGGCCTAAAACCTCAGCAAAAGCAAAGGCAATGTGCCCCAGTGAACTGAAAAGTTATGCGCAAAGAGATGCGAATGGCCAAGCTATTTGTTGGGCCTTCAATCAGAAGAGCGGATGCAAGATGGAGGTCATTAACGGGCGATGCAAAAAGGGGACGCATTGCTGCATCAAGTGTCACAAGAGCAATCACAGTCTGGTCACTTGCAAATCAAACTGACTATCGCCGGGTGTGGACAAACAAGACTAAACAGCCCTCTTGAAGAGAAAGCTGTTGGACGTGAAAAAGGGTTTTTTTCTGCAAAAAGGTCAGACTAAGCCAGAGCGTCCGATTTCACCCCCATCAACAGTTGAATAACAACATATGGGAAGTGCGACAATTCCGGTAACTGGAGTGAAAGCAGAGTTCACCGTAGACAGCGCCCAAGGCGAGAAGAAGCTCACAGGCAGATCATTACATGATTTGCTTTTGTGAAAAATGTTTTTTCGGGACAGCAAGACTGTCAAAGTGGCATGGGAGCAGGGACTTGGCTTTTGCAGGTGGACAAAACTGCGGGCAGAGCTTCACAAAATTCTCATAGCGAGCTATGATTTAACAAGCCCGGAGGAGAGGAGTTCACTCCTTTGTTTACTGGAAACCAAGAGAGACAGAATATGGCCATCCCTTGGCCCCAGCCTGCGGCACATCTTCCATGGCAAGAGAGAAGAAGCTTTGGAACTTTAGATACAAAGGGTTCAAAGAACCGGGCCCACTGCGTCTGAGGCAAAGCCCATGGGCTTAGACAGCCTTGCCGGACTGGATAAAACTCGCTCTGAGTCAGCCAACATTGTTTATTTTGCCACTGCAGCCATCATCAAGTTCTGCTTTCTGGACTGTATTTTGTGCTTGTTGGAAAAACCCGGAGAACTCTATTTGCTGGGACTACCCCGAAATAGCAGAGAGCCGGTAAGAATATGTTGGCTTCAGCGTTATTTTCATCCCTGCATGCACAGGGGCACAAGAAACAAAAGACCCAATGGTGGGCTTCAGAGGATGTTTTAACCTTCTTTCTGTTTTTTGCGACAGAAATCACAAACACACAACACGGAATCCCACGATAGTAGGAAAACAGCTCACCTTTCCCTCAGCGGAAGAGGCAGCACATCCAGTTTTGCTCTGTAAGCACGTAGTGGTTTTACTGGTACGGTATGCGATTTTTCATGGCGCACCACAACCTTAAACTTTGGAGGAGGAAACCCCAAGGACCTCCAACACTGCGCACTGATAGATCATCGAGATCTTGCCCAAAGGCAAAAAGATGAGGCCTTTGGAAAGTGAGTTCCGAGCATACCGCAAGTTTTCGAGTCAACCGGAACAGAAGCAAAACAAGTTTTCCTACTACAACCAAATGCGACAGAGTGGTTCATCGACAGTTGAAGTGGGGTAGGATTCGGGTCGATGGCACAACAGTTTTTGGACGACAGACAAGAATGAAATACAGCTGGAGGACAGAACCTTCCAAGAAATTTTTGACTGGAGGGCAAAGCATTCCAAGCCGAGCCTTTCACTGTAGGTGTACCCCGAGAATCGTGGGACTTTGTGGCACAAGCAGTTTAGGCGGGTCACCCAAGGTCAATGTCACTGTATGTGAACTCGGAAGTAACGGAAATGCTTCGAGAAAACTGTGAGATGTCCCCACACTTGGGGTGAAAGTGGGGGAAAAATTTCTAGCTTTTGGTCAAAGCGCTCGAATGAGCTTGAGACTGATGAGAAAGCTTTGCATGATGGTTTGGAACCCCACCTACGTTATGTGCTTCATGGCAAGAGGCTTTCGGTTTTCAAGGAGAGGTAGACTCTTTTGGATACCCGGACAAAACAAGGGTGAAGGACACACTTGCTGAGTTTCCTTTGTCAGGTAGGTTGCCGAAGTCGCATGTTTTTCCAGTGGAATGAAAAAGGCCGGCTCAAACCATAGAGGCCGCTTTGAAAGTTGAAAAGGGTATCAACAAAAGCATATGCAAGCGGGTGGCAAACAATCCTGACCATGACCTAGCGAAGGAGGTTGAGGAACAGACCCAGGACAAGTTAAGCAACCAGAGTGCGGCTGTTTCGGCAGAATGTCTGGTCCAATTGCGGGGATGGCTACAATGGTTTGAGACCTTCTCTCAGGTCAGGATTGCTCAACAATCCCCTAGAGTAATAAGCAGCGTGGCATCTGTTGGGAGGAATGCGTGAAACTTTGGGGCCCGAAGAGATTGGGGCCTTTCAATTCCTGAAGGACCGTGTTTTGGCGGCAGCGCAAACAAAGTGACGGCGGCCAATTCACAGACCTGGTATGTTTTCCTAGATGGCGCCTGCTAAGGAGACGAAGGAAACTTGGGCCTGTTGGAAACGTCCGGTGCGTTCCGATGGCGGAGTTACCTCTTTCATATATGAGAAAGTGCCCAAACAATGGATGGACAACTTCATGAAGGAGTCGCGTCACCCAGTGTTCGAGCTTGAGTTGCTACCCATTGTGATAGCTTTGTGTGTGTTTGGGAGAAATTCCTAAGAAATGGCCAAAGCATGTTCTATCTAGACAACGAGGCAGCCAGAGAAGTTTTGATCGACAGTGCAACTCCGATTGAATCTGGCGGCTGGCTGGTCAGAACCTTCACTGTTCATGAAATGCAAGGACAGTTGAGAGTTTGGGTGCAAGAGTACCTGTTAGCAGCAATGTGGCAGACAAGCCCGTCAGGCTCGATGTGACAGAGTTGGTAGCTGAAGGCATCGACAGAGTCAACATCGATTGGGGCAACCTTTGGGAGCGAATTCAGAAGTATCGATCTGATAAGTGGGGTGACGGTTAAACGGGATCGTACTTTTTCCCCTTTGCTCCGAATGAAAAAAGGTGTGCCCCGAGTGATGTCAGCCATTTTTGGAACGCTTCATTTTGTGACAGCTGTTTTTCCGTGCCAGCATCCATTTTTGAGAAGACAAGAAAATTTTGGAGAAAATTTTTAAGAGAATGGACCAAGTTTCTGAAAAGAAACGTTTGGGGATCCAATTGCGAACGACGATGCGTACATGTGATATATTTCACATATATATACATGTGCACTCTTATATGATAATATACGCACAATAAGGTTACAGGTATAAGGTGGAAACTTCCACCCAGCCGGTTTCCTCGAGAAACAAATAAGGGAGCAACTCATTTCGAAGAAATGATGATCCCCTTATTTGTATAGAAGAGGAAAAATTTTGTGGCGACAAAATTAGGTTGGGTGTTTTTGACTTCCACCTCCTGTGTTTCACACCTGTGCGTAAACAACAAGAAAATTGTGAAAACAAATCTGTTTAATTTTTCAAAGACGGTTGTCACGTTTGACACAAAACAGAAAAGGCTCTAGGTTTTTTGGTTTGTTGGTTTGAGAGGTTTTTGAACAAGATGTCAAAACCTTCCAAACATCAGCGACATAATTTATATGTGCGCGCACGCCTCAAACCAGGGTGGGTGAGGTGGGTTTTTCACTTCACTTTTGAGTGGTTGTGAATTTTTCCCGCCCAAACTGTCAGTTCTCCCGCCCCTATTTTCCCGAAACCTTGGACGCTTCGCGCGAGGAAGGTTTCCTTCTCTTTTTACAGATCCTAGAGCCTAACCCTTAGCCGTTTGACGGTTAAACGGGATCGTACTTTTTCCCCTTTGCTCCGAATGAAAAAAGGTGTGCCCCGAGTGATGTCAGCCATTTTTGGAACGCTTCATTTTGTGACAGCTGTTTTTCCGTGCCAGCATCCATTTTTGAGAAGACAAGAAAATTTTGGAGAAAATTTTTAAGAGAATGGACCAAGTTTCTGAAAAGAAACGTTTGGGGATCCAATTGCGAACGACGATGCGTACATGTGATATATTTCACATATATATACATGTGCACTCTTATATGATAATATACGCACAATAAGGTTACAGGTATAAGGTGGAAACTTCCACCCAGCCGGTTTCCTCGAGAAACAAATAAGTCTGGCTTATTTGGCTGTATCTGATGGTTCAAAGGTTGCTGCATCTAGAGGTATGTCACTCTTGGAAGCTTTGCGGTTTGCCAGATTTGTCATGCAGATTCCCATTCCTGACAGGCTGCTGAACGATGCTCAGCTCCGTGGACGTGCTCAGCGTCTTATGTCAACAAAGGTTGACTACAGGCCAGCGAGGCCGCTGAAGACAGCAGAGGTGGTCATGATGGAGAAAGGCATGGTTGGTGACATGGATACCATTGACAAGTACATGCTTGGTGCTGCACTTTTTTGTCTGTATTCACGGTCTAGGTGGAGTGACATTCAGCATTTGGACAGTCTCTGGGTTGACCGCACTGAACATGATGGTGAAATTTTTGGGTTCATTGAGACGAGGACAATTCATCACAAGACTGCAACTTCTTTGAAGAAGAAGCGTGTGTTTCTGCCCATAGTCAGTCCCATTTTGGGAATCACTACAACAGATTGGACAGAGGCATGGTTTGCAGTTTTGAACGACCTGAAGGTGTGCATCGATGCGAGGCCTTTTGGCGCATTGTGTCGTGCTCCTACAGCAGATGGGGCGCTTTGTCTTAGGTCGGTTTCTTCGGATGAGATCAGTGCGTTTCTGAATCGGTTCTTGAGAACAACTGGAGACAATTTGGTGAGTTCACACAGCTTGAAACATACAACGCTATCATGGTGCAGTTCATATGGAATGGAGGAGCCTCTTAGGACTTTGCTTGGGCACCATGAGCTGCCGGGGTCAAAGAGTATGGCTGTTTACTCACGTGACATGCTCACCAGATCGCTTCAAGCTTACTGTGCAATGCTTGCAAATATCAGAGCTGATCATTTCAGACCGGATGAATCTCGCACCTCCAGATTGTTGGACCTTATGAGGATTCAAGATGGTTCCGTTCAAAAACAGCATGCTGTTAGTGAAGCAACTGTGCCTGCTGACAGGACGCAGACGGAGGTGCCCATTGATGATTATGTGGAACCGCCTACACCGTTGCCAAGCCCAACAGCACCGGAACCTGGCGTAGGGGGTGATGAAACTGATGACAGTGATTTGGCATCCACAAGTTCGGATTCCTCTCAGGACTCTCCCTCTTTTGGGGGGCGTGCAAGCTCAGCAGATTTCATTTCTGCACCTGTTTGGAGAAATTGCAAGAGTCATGTTGTGCACAAGTGCAGCACCAGGCCCAATCAGACCATTTGTGGACGTCTTGTTTCGACCCCAAACTTTGAAATGTTGGAGAAGTGCTGCAGCACCGTCAATGCAAGGTGCAGTCGTTGCTTTAAGGGCGACGTGGTGTCTTCAGTGGAAGGCCTGGTGGACGCCTTGGATGCTGCAAAGAGCAAGCGTCTAAAAGTAGACAGCTAGCAGTTGAGATCGAATGTCATGCGTTTGGAGGAAAAAGAAAAGATCTTCTCCTTCTTTTGGAAAGCCAAACGGTTGGTTGCATTTTCAGTGCACAGTGCTGAGCGCAGCACACACAACGGAAAGCCGTTCATCAGTTGTCATGTTGTGAGACAATTTGGATTGATGCTGAAAGCAGCATGGCATGAGTTGAAAGCAACCGCATGCCGGCTCAAAGGAGCGACCAGCGTTTGAGCTGGGACGTCAACCAGTGGCATAAGTGTCATTTTGGTTTTTTGTTTGAGCAAAGGTTCATTCCATGAGTGCTGAAAGACTGCTTAAATTTCGGGGGTCACCTTCCTGGGCACTATGTTTTTGCATCCAACTCCTTTTTCAAACCCTTGCACTGCAGTTTGAATTTGATAGGGGGTTTGCACTGAGCAGACCGGACGGTATAGTGCGGTGAGATGGCCCTGGCATCCATTTTGGATTCGGAGGCGACCTTCACTCAACAAGCTCAAGAGGTTGGCTTGACAGAGCCATGGATTGATGCTCTTAAGGCCAATTCATTGGCAACATTTGCAAAGCTGAGTTTCGCGATTACAAGTCCTGGAACGGTGGCTACAGACGAACAAATCAACAGGTTTCTCAACACCATGCGTGGTGGAGCTGTGGCGACGATTGCAGAGTTATCTGCATTCAAGAGGCTGCTTTTTGAGAGTCAGACAATGATGATGCATCGTTTCAAGTCAGTTGCCAAAGGCGAAGAAGCAGTGCCGAAACGTTTGGCGCCGCCAGAGAGAGAGGCCCGTTTGGCCCGGCAGAAGCAGCAACTCCGAGGTTTGGATATTTCTGGGCCGATGGAACCGGCACATGGCCTATATGACCTTTGTGCAGCAATGATCGAGAAGAATGAAATCAGTTACATTAGCCCAACAAGATGTCTGACTCGTCAACAGGAACTTTTGGGAAACAAGCCAGAGAAGGAGATACAGCTTGATGCCACGAAAACGACATTGGTCATCAAGGAACAAGCGGCAGCACAGGAAATCAGCATCAATTCCGATTTGGCTTTGTATCAGGCTTTACAACGCAGAGCATTGGCTATGGATTTGACTGGCTTGGCAACTTTCGAAGTTTCAAAAAAGTGGATTGACCACATGTTTGCCATCTACGCCCAGGCCCCTGCACCGGGTTTTCAGAAGGTAAGTCAGTCACAGCTTCTTCGTGCAGATCGCCATTCTTTTGTCAGGTTGAGCGAGACGTTTACAGGTAATTTGAAAGTTGCTCCAATGGCGGGATTGCCGCTGGACCCATTGATTGAGAGGTTCGAGACGGACATGTCCATCACCTATTACATGTTGCCCATCCCTGCCTCGCAGAGTGCGGCTTCTGTGGACAAGCCTGACAAGAAGCGACCTGAGCCGGCACCCAAGCAGGCGGCTGCGCCTAGCAAATTTCAAAAGGGCGGAGCCAAAGGAAAAAGCAAGGGCAAGAAACGTGAGCCGGTGCCGCAGGCTCTCAAAGGAATGCATTCTCGAACTCCCCAAGGAGATCCTATCTGTTTTGGCTTCAACCTTGGTACATGCAAACTTGGATCAGCATGTACGCGAAAACACGTGTGCGCTGTGCCCAACTGCTACAAGAACCATCCGCAGACGGAGCACCAGTGACTTTTACATTCACCTTTGGTTTCATCCCATGCTGCAAAGCGCAAAGCCGAGTCTATGAGCAATGAACAGGCCAGTCAATCTGGCCATGTGAAACCACAGCTTGGTGCCAGCGGATATTTTTGCATGGAGCTTTTTTGTGGGTCTGGTAACCTGACTTACGCTATGAAGCATTTCTTTCCGGATAGCTTTGGTGTGGATCATAAGGTTGGGAAACAGCATGTCAAAGTCATTTGTTTGGACTTGACTCGGGAGGATCATCAACAGCTTGTCGAGCAGTGGGCGCTGTCACCTCACTGTTTGTGGGTGCACTTTGGTGTGCCATGTGGTACAGCGTCGAGGGCCAGGTTCAAACGCATCAGCAAGACAATACATGGGCCCCCTCCTTTGAGAAGCTTGAAATGGCCAGACGGATTACCCAATGTGAAGGGTACGAACCTTTTGCGTCTCAGGGCAGCCAATCGGCTGTATGCGTTTATGTCCAGGTTGATTATTAAACTGGATGATCGAAATATTACTTGGACTGTCGAGAACCCTTGGACCAGTTTGTTATGGAACACTTCGTACTGGCGTCGTGTGGAATCAATGGTGAAGGCTTATTATGCGGAAGTGCACAACTGCATGTTTGGGGGTCAGCGCCTCAAGCGCACCTGTATTGCCTCAAACAATGAGGCGGTGATGGCTCTCAATATTTTATGTGATGGTTCTCACGAGCATGCACCTTGGTCCATTCAAAATGGTGTTTTCGACACGGCTCGTGAGGCGGAATATACTCCGGCATTAGCCAAAGCTTTGGCAACAACAATTTTGGAGTCCTTGGCAGGCGAATATAAACTGACGAATGTGTCTCAGGTGGCCAAAAAGCTGAAGTTATCTCACTTTCAGGCCATAGCTGCCGGCAAGCAGCCCACCAAATCTTTGGCTTTTCCCACGGTCCCGGAGTTTGCTTATATTTTGGTTTTGGCCAATCTTCCGCAGACAGTTAATTTTTCTTTGCTGCGTGATGTTACAACAACTTGCACAACTTTGGATGTAGCAGGCACCCATTTTTTGGTGCCGTGTGGCTGCAAGCTCTTGCGAAGGACTACTAAGAGGGGAGAAAACCGTCCATTCAAGTATACAGTGGAGCACACTCCATCTCTCAGCTCAATGGGGGATATTGGATGTAACATGGATGAGTTTGCAACAAAGCGTGCTACCCCAGTTCTTAGTTGCATTGGGCATGGCGGTGATGGAAAGACTCGCTGTGAGGGTACTGCTGCCATTGCTTTTGTTTCTATGCCAACGGAAGGTGAAGTTCTCCAGGACTGGGTTTTTGGGGTCAGGTGGACACCGGAGTCTTTTTTGCAACAAGCAGTCAGTGTGGGCCATCCTTTCAAAAATTTTTCTGGATTATCTGATGATGTGAGGGCGGCTTGTGAGTTTGCGGCCAGTGCAGCACATGAGCAAGTGGTTGAGTTGAGATGCAAAAAATTGGGGTCGTGGCTTCAGAAAGTCAGAGCGCTTGAGAGTGAGGAGAAGTTGCTGAAGGAAAAAATGCCTCTGGAAAGGCGTCGCATACTGGAGTCCAAGCGTATTGCTTTTATGAGACATGTCATCCAGGAGGAGGGCTACGATGACAAACATTTGGCAGATGATTTGGAGCAAGGTTTCGCCCTTGTCGGTGAAGCACCGCGATCCTCTGTTTTGCCATCTAAGGTTGTGCCGGCGACGATCTCACAGCAGGATCTGGGTTTGCATTCTTCGAAGGCCAACAAGGCCTTGAGATACATGACGCGCAGCTGCGGTGATGAGGCCTTGGACAATCAATTGTGGGAAAAGACTCAAGCGGAAGTTGCAAAGGGCTGGATGGTTGGCCCTTTGGATTGGGATGCTCTTCCTCCTGGTTCGTCGGTTTCAAGAAGGTTCCCGCTGGCACAAGCGGGTAAAGTCCGACCAATAGATGATCTTTCTCAATCTCAGGTGAATGCCACGGTGAGCACTTACGAACAAGCTACAGTGGATGGACCTGATGTCATATGTGCACTGGCAGTATATATGATGTTCTGTTTGCATGCCAATGGGCGGCCAACTGGGTTGAGAGGGCGGTCTCTGGACTTAGCATCAGCGTACCGTCAGCTTGCTATCGCTGATGATTCATTGGCCCACGCCTACCTATCAGTTTTTGACCCGGTCAAAGGAGAAGCTGCCCTCTTCAGGCAGGTTGCTTTGCCGTTTGGGTCGCGGACAGCGGTCAATGCATTTATTCGCTGCGCCAGATTCTTGCAGTGGGTTGCGGCACATTGTCTTAAGCTCCCCCTTTCTTGTTACTTCGACGACTTTGTGGCTTTTGCAACACCTCAACTATGTGGAAACTCCCAGGCGGTGCTGTGCCTGATGCTTGACCTGTTTGGCTGGAAATTCGACAAGGAGGGTCCGAAGAGCGACTCTTTTTCTGACAGGGTATCTGCCTTGGGAGTTGTGTTTGACCTTGCGCAGACTACGGAGGGTTCTTTGCAGGTTCACAATACAGAAAAACGCGTTGAAGATACAACACAATACATAGATGAAATTTTGCAATCAGGCGTCCTCAGCAAGAAAGGAGCACTGACGTTGAGGGGTCGCCTTGCCTTTTGTGATGCTTTCATTTTTGGGCGTGTTGGAAAGGTTGCTCTGCAGGAGATAACAAGGCATGCGTATGCAGTTCCTTTTGCATCCGAGATGAATGCAAGACTGGTGGAATCTTTGAAGCTTCTGAAAAGCCGTGTGCTTAATGGTTCTCCGAGATCACTGAGCTGTAAGTTGCTGGACACTTTTTTCCTCTTCACAGATGCAAGCTTCAACCGCGACACTGGTGCGGGGTTGGGGGCGGTCCTAATCTCGGGCACTGGTCAAGTGCTATCCTGGTTTGGTTTGCAGAGAGATACAAAGTCTCTTTCCTTTTTCTTGACGGAGAACCGTGAGACGATAATTGGTGAAATGGAAACGCTTTCAGTTTCCATGTCAATTCTGCTGTGGGGCGACCTCCTACATTCCTCTCAACTGGTGATTTATATCGACAACGAAGGTGCACGTTTTTCTCTGATCAAAGGTTACTCGGACTCACGTCCTATCACTGCAATTTGTGCGTTGACAGCGGTCGCATTAGACAGGCATGTGATTCTCCCCTGGTATAGCAGGGTCCTTCGAGTTCAAACTTGGCTGACTTCCCTTCCAGAGACACTCCACACCAACTCCTTCGAAAAGAAGCTCAGGCTCCGAGAGCGGAAGTCCTGAGAGTGTTTCAAGAAAGCTTGAACTTTCTTAGAAAGTTTGGATAGCCACCTTGACATGGGTGGGGTCCGTGGCAAAAGACGGGCTATGGACTTCCCCAATGTCTAGGAGTGAAAAAGGCGTGTGGTGCTTCGGATGTCAGCAGATGTTTTCATGTTTTTATTTCCAGTGAGAGGGTCTTTTCACGATGGCGTTTTTTTTCCGGCGTGCGTGGCAGGCGTAATTTTTAATAAGGTTTATGTGTCTACGGTTTTTAGTACGTTTGGAAATAAGTTGCAACTCAGCTTGCTGATGAGACTTTATTTCCTTTAGTACTAAAAAAGAAGTTGGGAGCAACTTCTAGTAGACACGCGGTCCTGCCCCTCGCCTTTACGCGTCCCTTCTCTACGCGTCTGCGACAGCATTCGGGTTCTGGTACTGCTCTGTTTACTTGGTAAACTCTGGCTGTACCTTGCTCAACAAACTGGGGTTTGTTGGTTTTTCTGTTGACGCGTTTTTTATGGTTCTGTTTTTACAGAACTTGTTTGTTTATCTGTGTGATGTTCTTGTTTTTTATCTGTCAATGAGTGCATGACTTTTAAAACAAGAACCTTTGTTTTCTGTAAGTAAAACATGTCACACTGGTTCAGAGGAATCTTCTTTTACGTGTGGCCGTTATCAGTCAAGGCCTCCTAGGGAGGGTGGGCGGGTTCGCACGTTTTTTCCTGTGACTCGTTGTTTGTGCCCCCCTCCCCCCCTACAGTTTTTAAGAACGGTTGCGGAATGCCGCCCTTACCGTTCTTTGGGAAAGCCTTTTTTCTTCATATATTTTCGTGCGGAACGCCGCCTAGGGTCATGGAACGCCATTATTTCCCTCTTTTTTGCGCCCCAAAAGACGGGCTATGGACTTCCCCAATGTCTAGGAGTGAAAAAGGCGTGTGGTGCTTCGGATGTCAGCAGATGTTTTCATGTTTTTATTTCCAGTGAGAGGGTTTTTTCACGATGGCGTTTTTTTTCCGGCGTGCGTGGCAGGCGTAATTTTTAATAAGGTTTATGTGTCTACGGTTTTTAGTACGTTTGGAAATAAAGTTTCATACAAGCGAAGAAGCAGCATACCCTCCACAATTTTGCAGGGCAGTTGCTTCACTCATTGCGGAAATTGCAGTTCGCGAAGGCTTTGCTTTACCTCCCACAAACCTTTTCGATTTTGATGCACCTGACACTCTTCTCACCAAACACCTTCTACGGGGCTCTGTGGGCATTCAACCGCGTGGTGCGCAATTCTCATTTCTTCCTTTTCTTTTAATGAACATTGGATGCCACAAGATGATCTTCCAGAACATTGCTTTCCAAATCAAAAGCTTCCTCTTCCATTTCCTAAGGGGTCAATTTTTCCCCCTGAGCTCCAGTTTGATGATGGGTCATGTTCAAGAGCTCAATTCAATACATCTTCGAAAGACGAGAGGAAGATGAAAGTGTTGATCCCTATTTCTCCAAAAGAATTTCTTGTGAAACTTGCCGGGACCAAACATCCCAGTCAATTAAGCATTTCCGCGTGGGGATGGTACCCACAAGCGATTGGAGAACTGTCCAGAAAGAAACAAGATGAATATCTCAGGGATCAAGCGAGGATGTTGACATCCATCCTTTCAAGAGCAAAAGAACTCTCGCCTTCGGAATCCAAGAGGAAGTTACATAGTGATGATGTGATCAAAACTGTCAATGTGAAGAAGAGGCTTTGCTTGCTTGAAGAGTTATTGCGTGCAGTGGACCATCCTGACATGAAAATAGTTGATGATCTGGACAGTGACAAAGGTTTCAGGTTGACAGGATGGCTGGAGCCTTCTGGATTATTTGGCAAACTTGTGACCCCTCCACAGATTTCGAGGGATACTCTGGAGGCACTTTCACTGTGTTTGAATACCGCGGCCATCAATCGGTGTGAGCGTAACTCTTCAGACGATATGTCGAAGGTTCTCTTGGACATCACCCTTGATGAACTGAAGAGGAACTGGATTGTTCGTGAAGTTGATCTTGGTGACTTGGAAAAAGGAACGATCCTCTCTCCGAGGTTCATCATTCAACAAGGTGAGAAATCAAGAGCCATCGATGACTTTACCTATTCCAACATAAATTCGACAGTTGGAACTTCTGAAAAGATCATCCTTCAAGGGGTTGATGAAATTGCTTCTTTGATCAAGCAGATTTTTGTCTCTGGAATCGATGACATCGTGGGAAGGACCTACGATATGGAGGCAGCATACAGACAGCTGCCGATACACCCAGATGACAGAAACAAAGCTGTAGTTTGCGTGTATGATCCCGCCAAAAAGGGAGTTAGAGGCTTTGAGATGGCCACGATGCCCTTCGGAGCTATAGCGTCGGTGCATGCGTTTTTACGAACTGCTGCTGCTGTGAACAATATTGGATGCAGTTTGTTAGACATACCAATGATCGACATCGTATTTCGATGACTTTACAGTGGTAACGAAGGCTGAGCTTTCGAAGGGTACTGGGCTTGCAGTGCAAACGTTGTTTGAGGTTCTTGGGCTCCATTTGAGTACATCTGACAAGAAGAACTTGGACTTCTCTAAAGTCTTCTCTGCATTGGGTGTTGCGTTCGACCTGCACAAGCAAGTTGACAACTCATTTTCTATAAGGAACACTGAACAGAGAGTTAAAGAACTTGTGGAAAGAATTGATGCTGTTGTTGCATCTGGGAAACTTGGGGGAAGAGAGGCTAAAGGGCTGAGAAGTCGTTTGAGTTTCGCATGCTCTCAGATATATGGTCGAACTTCCGCGTCGGTCATGAAAGACCTTGGAAGGTACGAGACGGCGCGACACCCGCTCAGGTTGAGTGGTAACACTCAAATGCTTCTTGATCTCATGAAATCACACCTCTTGGTTGGGATGCCTCGTAAAGTCACCTTTGGCGATTCTGAAGTCGTGCGCGTTTTTACCGATGGGTCATTAGAAGGAGATGACTCCGCTGGAACGGTGGCTGGAATCGGAGCTGTATTGGTGGATGATTCGGGGAACTGTGTCAAGGCCTTTTCATACATCCCAAAATCCAATGACGTTGAAGTCATAGGCGGCAAAATACACCAGCTGGAAATTCTCCCGGTTGTGATGGCTTGTATCGCCTTCGCAGACGACATCAAATCGAAGAACATTTTCATTCACGTAGACAACACGGCCGCACAGTCCTCCTTGATTAATGCTGGCTCCACTAATCATACCTCAAGATCCTTGGTCTACTTGTTTCTAGACCTCGAACAACGACTGCAATTCGTTCCGTGGGTCTCCAGGGTAAACTCCTTCTCGAACATAGCTGACGGACCTTCGAGGAACTCGTTTGATGAAGTTATGGCCCTTGGCGCTGAATGTTTTGTTTTCCCTGAAGAAGTGTTCGACTTCATTATCAAAGAATTTCAAAGGAAGATGGCTTCAACTTAGCAGTCAAACATTTGAGGATGGGACGAGAGCGTTTGACAATTTGAATCTCATTGATCATTAATGGAAATTTCGAATTGTGATTCTGCTTCGTTTGTTTCTGACCTTCAAATTTCATGTGTTCCATCCACATCTTTGGAGATATGCGACATTCAAATTTCAATTCCAACGTATGGATTTCAGAATTGATTTGAGTTCGAATCATCCCATCGAGGTTCAAAAAGTCGGAGTGTTGCAGCCATTGATTTGCGATCAATGTTTGACCGATGTCCTTCTATTTGTTTTGTAGAATTTCTTGAGCCTCCCAAATTTAAAATAAGATCAATTTCTAACGTAGTTAGACATCTCTTTATTTTAAATTTGTGAGTTCAGAAATTCAATCTTACTTCCGTTGCCATGGCTCAAGAAACTCTTCAAAACGCTCGAACATTTATTCATTCACAAACGTTACTTTCTTTTCCCCCACCCTCCACATCCCATTCTTTGCCAGGTGTTATGGATACTCTTTCCAATACTATCCGTGAGTGGCTTTCTATGACCGTTGACAACGGTACTCGACTTATTCGTCTCCTCAACATCCTCTCCTTCATTCTCGAGAACATTTTCGACAGCTTTTCCGGCAGGCACTGGGCATTTATGTGTTCAGTCATTCACGCTGCCTTTTCAGGTCATTTTGAACCTGTTTCCAATTTCTTTGTCGATCACCATTCTACTTCCATTTTCCTCTTCTCCTCTTCTCTTTCAAATTCCGGCCTTGATCAACTAATTGACGATCTTTCCTTCATGAATTGTTTGATTCGTGAATTGATTTCGTTTCACCAATTCAAGGGACTGCAAACTCCGGAACTTTTGTGCTCTGTGTTGTTTTCTGCTGCTGATTTTCTTTCGGTTTTGCTTCTTGTGAAATTTATTCGAAATGTCCCGCCGGTTTTGCCGGCTACGTCCAATACTGAGAACCCTGACTTCTCTCCAGTCCTCAGTTTGATCACAGAGTTGGATCAAACCAGTGCTCCTTCAGAAGAAGGTCAAAATGATTTCGATGCGCATCTCGAATTGCAACACGATTTAGACCTTCAAGAGCAAAACGCTCAAGATGTCGCAGCATTTAACGACTGGATCACTGGATCAGGCTACAATGGCCTCTTCTGGGACGAGATTGAACCTTCGTTGTGACATTTTACTTTCAATTTCCGTTTCTCAATGTGGATGGGACGAGAGCGTTTGACAATTTGAATCTCATTGATCATTAATGGAAATTTCGAATTGTGATTCTGCTTCGTTTGTTTCTGACCTTCAAATTTCATGTGTTCCATCCACATCTTTGGAGATATGCGACATTCAAATTTCAATTCCAACGTATGGATTTCAGAATTGATTTGAGTTCGAATCATCCCATCGAGGTTCAAAAAGTCGGAGCGTTGCAGCCATTGATTTGCGATCAATGTTTGACCGATGTCCTTCTATTTGTTTTGTAGAATTTCTTGAGCCTCCCAAATTTAAAATAAAAAAAATACCAACCGCATTTTTAACTATGTACATACTTGCTCAAAACACAAAAACAATGACGGATTTCCAGCCCGCAATCCACTCGTGGAGCTTGCAGGAAAACGCAAACGAGGGTGAACCTGTGGATTTCTTGCGTCAGCACGTTGAAATGTATTTGCAAACACGGCACGCTTCCATGCGCGGCTGGGTTTGATGTTCAGTTTCAAGCTTTGGGCTCAGCCTTTGCAGATGAATTCCGGGGCAACAACCCATGCCGCGCAGCTCAGTCTTACAGGGCTCAATTCAGAACGCATTGAACAAACAGTGTTGGGTAGCAAGAACGAAGAACTATTCCAAAAAAGTTGACAGAGCAGCGGTCGAAACTCAGTTTTGATTGCTTGATTGCGACCCTTTTTTCAGCGCAATGGCTTCCAAGAGAAACATTTTTCAGCGCAATGGCTTCCAAGAGAAACACTTCAGCTTCTTGTGTGCGTCTTGCTGCAATTGGTTGTTTTTGGTCGGCGGCTTCCAAAATTTGACCTTCAGCATCCCAAAGCAGATAGAGGAAACCGCCCAAAACAAAGGCATCAGTCCCGCCCAATACTTGAAAGATGTGAGCAACAGAGCAGAACTCTACCAAAAGAGCGACGCGGTTGCTGGGCGAGAGGAGTTCGTGAAGACATTGAATGAGGCAGTGCGGTTGAGCTATGCTTTGTTTTAGCTTCGAGTGAAGAGGCTCAGTATGGTCAAGTAAGTCTTTCGGGTTGTGTCTGCATTTTTGTTTGGATATAGAAGGACTTCAGCTCAACTAAATTGTGATACAATTCAAGATGTCACGCAACTTCGTCAGGCTATGGGAAAGTTTGGTTGGCACCTTGTCATCCCTCCTCGGAAAGACCAAAATTGTGCAGACCATTGTTGACAATGCTGGCGATGAAACTCCTTTGCTCTACGTCAACATGCGTCTCCCGAGCAAAGCCCAGTCAACAGATGCATTGGAATGTCTGCAAGAAGAAGCTAAGCGAAGATGGACCGCAAAGAATTTGCCTCTCGGAGCAAAACAGCTGGTGGTCGGCCTTTCTGCGGTTGCTGGAGCACTTGGCAAAGCGGACTGAAAGAAGGGTGATGATGTAGAGGGTGCAGTGGAAACTCTTCTCTCTTCGTTTCTCAACATCAACAAACCGAGGAGTTCATCAACGCTTTTGTTGCGGCAACAATGGCTGCAGAGAAGGTTCCAGTCATGATCGTTGATGAAGCCAACATCGCCTTTCCCGATTGCAGTAGTAACGGTGGGAATGGGAATGGCAGAAGAGAAGCAGCTTACAGAGCGTTCGCAACCTTTGTGGCACTGACACAGGAGCAGCGGAAGGCGCCTGTTATTCTGGTTGCCTCTGACTATGCTTTCCCATTGGGACTACAAGTTCTTGGCTTCAACAAGTATGATGCCCTCAATACGATTGTAGCTCCGGAGGTTGAAGAGAAGCTTATGCTTTCTTTGCTGAAAGAGTGGGTTTTTTCTCAAGACTTTGGCACAGGAGCTATGAGCAACTTTGCGCAGTGCTTTTCTAAAGCTTGCTTTTGTTAGTTCATGCTCGTGCAAAACAGGGTCGAATTTTGGTGTTCTTTGTTTGGTTGATTTTCTTGAAATCAGTTCATCACGGGATGCATGGGTCGGAACTGTGTGCGTGTAATTTCCTGTCAAATCGGAATATGGCAAATGCTTTTGTGTTGTGGGCTGGCAGGAGTTCTATGAGACCTTCGGTGGAAACGTTTTCTTGTGCTCTTCGACCCTTTAAACGTCCGAGGCAATGCCGGGCTAGGTGACCTCGTTGGCGACCCGCTTACTCGGAAGCACATGGAGAGCTTGGCTGAGAAAGGATGGTCGCCAGTAGAGGGTGGCGCTGCAGAAGAGGAGACGGAGAGCCAGAAGGATGCTCGCATCATCGCCAAGAAGAACTTCGGCGCCATCATCGGAGACAGACCGAAACTTTTTTTGACGAAGCCTTGAAGGAAGATATGTTCAGAGACCCAGATGCTGAGTGGGTTCTAATTCCACCAACTACATATGCACGCAAGTACATCCAGCGGAAAGTGGACACGGCGAAACCAAGCAACTTGGACTTCAAAGAAAGACTTTCTTTTGGAGCAAGCACTCGTCACTATGAGCCCCAGTCATTTTGCAGTTTGTTTCTCAATCTTTCAGGAGCATTTATCAGGAACGCGAACCACTTTTTCTCCATCCCTTCTCGGTTGAACATGTTGAACGCAAGGCATCACCACACCACAAGCTGGAGCAGTGTGGGTGAGGCAACTAAAGGAGGACAGGAGTGACCGGTGCCAGTCAGTTGCTCCACCAAGGAAGCACTATTGTATTGGGATCTACAATTTGAACAATCATGTCTATGCCAACTCATAAAGCAGCAAATTACATGGATTGATGGTGTTAATGTAACTTTCCTCCCAAGCCAAACATGTGATTATGTGTAAGCCCGCTATGCGAAATAATACCGTGTAATTTTATGTTCTTGACACAGCTCAGCACTTTTTGGGGAGAAGATTGCAGGGTTGTTCATTCCACAGGATTTGCTAAAAGATATGTTCCAAACGTTTTCCTTAAATTGATAGAGAGGATTTAGACTAAAGACTTTGCATGATTTTCTGCAATGCCCTTGTTCCTTTTCCATGCCCTTTTGTAAGGAAATGCCAGTAGCACAGGGTAGGAAAGGGTTGAATTTGAATGTCATGGCTGTCGACCTTGCAGGATGGCAGTGGCGGTCTTGAGTTTGTGGGCAATGCGTTTCAAGTCAAGGATAAGGACGCTAGAAAACTGGCTTGAAAGTGCCAAGAGTTTGGAGAGTGTGCATTTCCATTTGTCTTGCCTTGAAAAACAGCATGAATCATGTGTCAGGACATGCAGAACATAGATGATTTGAAGAAGGTGCTGACCTCAAAAGAGAAATTTCGTTCGAATTTCGCTCGAAATTCGTTCATCTTGTGTTGGGAACATTTTTCAGAAGAGAAATGACAATAGAAAAGCAGAGTTTGTGCAACATGTGCTGTGGGTTCATGGTTTGCGTTGATGTCCAATACTGTGCCTTAGTTAACGTTGAGTAGAAGACAAAGCAGACAGCGATGAAAGCCAGAACATGTTTTCCTGAAAGTGTGTAAACATGCATGGGTGGTACTTTCGTTTTGCCGCGAGGCGATTAAGACGGAAGCCAAACTGTCCATTGCAGCTTTCAAGATCGACTTTTTTAGCCAACAGGACAAGCCATTGTGCCACGTGGCTTCAATGACCAGTTCGTTTTCGTTTGAATGCCTTCTCCGCAGGACGGCAACTGGAGCAAGGAAGACGAAGAAGCTTCCATTAAACGCGGTGTCTCCAAGTCCTCCCCTCAGTAAATACATGTCAATATTGTTACTTACTTGTTACAAACGCCTTGCTGAAGTGCGGGGGTCAACTCGGGTCAAGCAATCATTCAGGTTGGACTGCTATGGATACCTCGTTCCATAGAGGCTGATTTGTTTGTGAGCAATGTGTGCACAGTGTGGCAATGCTTTTCTTTCTAAATGGTGCTTCTTGAAACAGTTTTGCTTTGTGAGGCTCTTCCTGACCCTGTGAGCATTGGACGGTTTCATTCCATGACGTGAGTGTTGTTGGCACCGTGGCACCGGTCCACGCAGGAGGCACTGCAGGAACTCGCGGGCTCTGCTCATGCATCGATCCTGTCAGAGGTGGGGAGGCATGGAATGGAACCGACATTAGATCCGACCAGACAGTTTTTGGAGGTTGTGGCACTTTTTGTTGCTTCCATCATTTTGTTTTGGCCACCCTGTTTTCAGCTCGCAAAATATAAGGATATAACTTATGATTTGCCAAAGTAGGTGTAGGGTACATACAGTGTCTGGGTACGGTTAAATGATGGTACGGTACGGTGGTGCGATGGAAGTGGTACGGTTAAATGATGGTACGGTACGGTGGTGCGATGGAAGTGGTACGGTTAAATGATGGTACGGTACGGTGGTGCGATGGAAGTGGTACGGTTAAATGATGGTACGGTACGGTGGTGCGATGGAAGTGGCACTGTCAAATGATGGTAAGGTGGTACAGTGGTGGTGGTTCAGTGTTATCTGGTACAGTACGGTGGCATGGTGCGATTGAATGTTGGTATGGTAAATTGGTGCGATACAGTGGTGCAGTGAGTCGTTTGTGTTGCGGGATGAGATGCTGGTGCGGTACGGTGTTTTTGCGATGTGTTGGTAAGGAACGCGGGTGAGATAAGATGCTGGTACGCTATGGTGATGTAGCATGATGTGGCATGTTGGTGCGACGAGATGTTGGTAGGGAATTCTGCGGTGCACTGTAATGGCGTGGTGAGATGCTGATACGATACCTTGTGGAAGATAAGCATCCCAAAGCAAAAACCGGTCAAAACTGGTGCCCAAAACAATGTAAAGGAGAGAGTGAGCTGGGGTAAAGTAATATTGATGTCTTATGGTGTCTTAAATAAGGGGTTGCCATTGAGGGGGATTTAAGATTTTTAATGGTTTGTGTTTAAGTCTATGTCAATGTAGGTTCTAAAGATCGGAAATTGTTTTGCGCACATTGGATTGCGGGCACACAGTAAAACGCATAGTCTTTTTGAAAGAGCATGTCTCAGAATAAGAGGGCGTCACACTTGCCCGCATATTGGTGTGCAACTCCAACAAACAGTTCAGTGTCCTGTATCCTCTTAAGAAAGTGCAGTATTTGACCTTTGAGAGAAGTAAAATTATTGTATAATTCTTGGTTTTGATAAGGGAGTTCAACTGATCATTCCTTTTTGACTATACAAATTTACATGTTATATAGATATGCCCAAATAAGATAGGCATACTCAGTACTCAGTATTCCAGAAACAGCGCTCAGTGATCATTTCTCTCAAAGAAGAAGTCTTCCTTCAAGAAAATAACTGTTCCGTTTCCACATGCGCAATGTTCTTTCGAAAGGGTATGCAATTGTTTATAAACAAGGCCGGTTCTTTTCAAAGGTAAATACCTGAGGAAATATGTAGATTTCTGTGCAATAATGCAAGTTTATATAAAAGATGTCCATTCAAAACATGCATCTTTCTTCAATGGGTGCAATATTCCTCCAGGGCAGTGCTTTATGTACAAAACACATCGGCCAAATATGAAACATGGATTGAACCAATGCAATGTTAAATTCAAAAATGCAGGCAACATTCAGCAGATTTTCTGTTTGTATTTGAAGTATTCCTTTGAAAGATACAGCTGTCAGTTAAAGATGTGCAGTGTCTGAGACACACAGTTTTCATTTGAGAGATGCGGTGTTTTTCAAAGAAATAGTACTTGTTCAAAATATCAAGTATTCCCTGCAAAAAAACATGGAATTCCTTTTGACATATAGTATGCTATTCTGTCGACAACTGCAATGCTTAAACAAGTATTTCTTTGACAAATCCTTTTGAAAGGGTAGCGCTCTTCAAGTTCGGTGTTCTTTTCAAGCAGTGAAATTGCGCTACAAACCATTACAGTATTCCTGTCAGAAAGTGGTGTGTTTCTGACAATGCAAACTCGTAAACAACCAGCATTCCTTTCAAAAAAGTACGCTACAGTGACATGTCACAAAGCTTTATGAAGTTGAAGACAGAGCGCCTGGTCTGTCAACTTTCGGTCCAAGAGGAGGGAGGGCGGGTTTGCCACCGTTCTTTTTTGCGATTTAGCCATGGGAGATAGGTCTGTTTCCTCTCCACTGGGCATTCATTGGGCTGCATATTCTGATTCAGCACTCCTTCAGAGCATCAAAACAATTGCGGACGAGTTGCAGTCCAGAGCTGCAGCAAGAGCGGCAGGCGTTGGGCAGTCGTGGGACGCCATCACAGACATCCCTGCGGCAAAGGCTTCAGCAGTGCCCGGCCAAGGAGACAAGCCTAGCTCCACAAATGAGAAGAAGGTGGCAGAGCCAGTACAGGAGTGGTACTGAAAGCTTGGATGACATGCCTTCCAACTTGCCTGTCAATCTAGATGGTGAAGAGTCACTGCTGGATGAGTTTTTGGGTCAATCTCCAGACGGAGTGGACCAGTTGGTAGGCCAGCAACAGGCAAGTGCGATGGGGCTTTTGTTTGGACCTCACTCAGATGATGCTTTTGCGAGTGGGGCCCATCAATCCCTTTTTGAACCCGCAGCTGAGAGTGGAAATGCAGACAGCGGTGTTAGTTTTGTGGAAGCTGGTACAGATTCTGCAGCACAGTTGGGCTCTTTTTCGCATGTGGGAAAAACCGCACCAGACACCATTATTTCTGAAGCAATCAGGCTAACAGACAAAAAGCCTGTTCTGTATCCTTGGGAGAAAGGACGCATGGCTCGGATTTTTGGTGATAGAGGCAGACTGGAAACCAAGATGCCTCGACTGCATGCAAGTAGCAACAGTTTTGTCAAAGTGCATGTTCAAGTTGGTGAGGGTTTGCAATGTGCTGCATCCATTGGAGTGAAACCTACCCGCACTGATGATGCCTTGTACACCAGCGTTGTTAAACAGGTCATCGGAGGATCCTACATTGAGGAGCGCGATGCCAAGCGCGAGCTAGCCGTCAGGTATTGGTGGGACCTTCTTAGACTGGATATGCAGTGTAGTGATCCAGGCAGGATCGCATTGCGAGAAAAGGGCCTGGCAGACATATACAAAAATGGGATCGAGATCCTAGACGCATCGTTGGGCGTGAAAAGCCCCAATACAGTCATGAAAAGGTTTTATGCGGTGAAGACATATAACACTTGGGTGATGCGCCAATTTGGCAAATCCTGGCTGCCTGTAGATGAGAGGGTAGTATGGGACTACTTCAAAAACTTGAAGGCCGAAAAAGCTCCAGCCACGCGAGCTACATCGTTTCTAGAGGCTTTGAGGTTTTGCTTCTTTGTCTTCCGAGTGGATGGCTGCGAGGAAGCTCTTGGCAGCCTGCGGGTGAGAGGGCTTGCAGCACAGCTCTTTGCCTGCAAGCGACCTTGGAAACCAGCCGATCCTTTGACGGTGGCTGATGTGCAATTCTTGCACAAAGCGATGATGGACAATCGACGCTGCATGGTGGATCGAGTCTTCATTGGACACTTATTGCATATGGTGTATGCCAGAGCTCGTTTTTCGGACTTGCTGGCTTCAGTCAACTGCATGCTGGATGACGAGAACATGTTCCTTGAGCTTGATGCGGCAGTGCACAAGGGTTCAAGAACTGCAGCCACCAAGGCAATGCTATTGCCAGTGGTGGCGCCGGCCAATGGCATGCAACCGGGCTGCCGAATACCTTGCTCTGAGGAAGAAATCGGGGCTGGCTTTACCTGGTAAAGAACCTGAACCCATGTTGCCAGCTCCGGAAAAAGGTGGAGCAGGTTGGCAAAAGAGGTTCTTAACCTCACAGGAGATGAACTCCTTCATGAAGCGGCTTTTCATGGACGGCGGCATTCCATTGGAGGGCAGAAGGATCTCTACGCACTCATGCAAAGCTACATGCATTTCGTGGTGCGCTAAACATGATGTTTCTCCTGAACATCGTGCAGTGCTTGCACGCCATAGCACTGCTGCACAGGGACCTACTGCATTGTACTCCAGGGATTTGGTGACGGCTGCACTTCGAAGTTTGGTCAAGGTCCTCGAAGCAATTCGACAGCAGGCTTTCTTTCCTGACAAATCTCGATCTGGAATGATCACTCCAGTTCCTGCGCCAAGGGCTCCAGGACCGATGATGCCGATGCCATCGACCCCAATGCCGTCTATGCAAACCGAGAACCAGGAGGTTGCAATGGTTGAGGAGCAGCAAGATGTGGCCAGCGTGGCTCCGTCTCCAGAGAGTCCACTGCCTGAGACGCCAAAGTCGTGGCAGAAAATCGACTGGCCCACTGATGAGGTGGTTGACGTTGAGTCGCAGGCACCCGATCCTCCTGACCTGTTGAAAGATTGGGACAGCGACTCCAGCAACTCTTGCAGTGACTCTGACAGTGACAGTGACGTGGAGGTGAGCTTAGAACAGGCTGGTGAACCTGACAAAGCTTCTCAAGCCGCTGTGCCATCCACTTTGAAGTGGTATATCAATGGCGGCACCTTGGTAATCCATGAACGACGAAATGAAAAGTTGTTCAAGTGCGGAAGGGTCATTGGACCGCCATACTTCCCTGTGCACCAGCTGACTGGGCTGCGATGCGGACAGTGTTTTGCAAACACTCTGTGATCCAGTGGTTGCCCACTGTGACAAAAAGAAGCGGTTTGCGCCGCTGTTCCGTTGTTTGTGCAACCGTGTTGAAGCTGGTATGTCCAGCCATGTGCACATTAAGACGTTTGATTGATTTGTCGTGTTTTCCCACTGAGGCATTTGCATGTCTTTTTCATGTTTGCAAATTTGGAATGCTG